TCGCGGAAGGCTCGCAGCGCTCACACGCTTCTCCGGGGGAGGAGGCGTGCTGGAGGAGAGTCCAGCTGCGGTGCCTCCCCCGGTGATGATGGGTGATGGTCGCCGGCGGTGTCGCGGCAGAAGCTGCCTTTTTTGGCTTTGGTTTTTAGTTTTGTGGTACCGGTAGGTGGCCCGATATTGTAGTGGCATGAGCATTGGAGCAAGGGGCGAATATGCCACTATGCAGGGCCGTGCCACTATGTCGTGCTAGGCTACTGCTGTATATGGAGTAGAGGGCCCTCCGTAGTGCCGGTATGGACCAATCTAGTTCACCGGCATTGTTCAGAACAGGGATTTATAGGTTTTTGTACAGGAGTGGACACTCGTGCCCAAGAGGTGCTTGTATGACCGGCACTATTCCGGGCATAGGCACTTTTCAACCGGCACTGCTTCTGAGGGCCCTCTACTGTATATTTGCTCCTCTCTCTTTGTCGTAGTCTCGCCTTGGTAGGTGTGCAGATGGAAAACCCTCCCGTCGCAGATCAATTACGTGCGGTGAACGAATTGGTACGGTCGAGGTATTGTATGTGCACAGAACGTTCACGGGCACTAAATTCGACAACCGGCACTATTCCAGGTACAGAACGACTTGGTATTTCGGAGTGTGCGAGCCGAAAACACCAGGACTATGCCGGGCACCCGGCACCATTCGACCCGCACTGTACAGGTCCCTCGACTACTGTATGCCACATGCGGCGGAGATTTGGGGACAGGCGTTACGTATGTGCGCCACAGCTGGCGATTTTCTGGCCACTCCCCAGTCCAACAGCAGTGTTTGGGTTGTGGTTGGAGGTGGTCACGAAACCAAAGCCACTTGTAGCAGGTTTCCAGGCCTCGGGCTACAGCACTACGGACTACAGTAGCCCCCACTAGGCCTAACCCACCGCTACACCCTATCCCTAACCCTAACCCTAACCCTAACATTTTTGGTTTGAGGAACAATCGAAATAGAGCTTTGAAAATCGGTCTGGGGGGAGTGTCATCTCTCTGCCTCTTACGGTATATTAGCGTGGTGTTCCATCAGACGTAGTAAATACGATGGGGCGAGGTCGTACCGCTGCCCGTGTTTGCGAGAGCAGTCGCAGAGGAATTTAGGGCGACGGGGAGGGAGACATGGTTGCCCTCTCTCTCTCTCTCTCTCTCTCTCTCTCTCTCTCTCTCTCTCTCTCTCTCTCGCCATCTCTCTCGCCATCTCTCTCCCATCTCCCTTTCTCTCTCCCCCTGGCTCCCTCTCTCTCCCCCTCCCACGTTACGCTTGGCCGGGCGCAGCAGTCGAGACTGTCAGCCCTCGGCTTCGGACGCGACCTCTCGAGCGGCGGAGGCGGAGGCGGAGGTGGCGGCGGCGGTGGGTCAATGTGGGACCCTGACCCCATGGCTGCAGACGACGACGAGGATGGCGAGGACGGCGGAGGGGGAGCGGGGGGAGTCCAAGGGTTCGTTACGGAGTGGCACGGCGCTGGTGGCGGCGGCGGCGGCGGCGGCGGCAGTAGAAGAGGTGAGAAAGTGGTGTCGTTAGCAGGGGTACTGTAGCGACGTGCTCTATTTCTGAACATTTCGGCTTTGTTGGTTGTTGGGGTGATGCGCTGTTCTGCAATATTTTTCTGGGCAAGAACGAAAATAGCCAAACATCCATCTTTGCTTGTTTTCATTTGTAAATGTTTGGGAAATGAGTAATTGGAATCAACAACACGCTTCAGTAACTTGTTTCGCGGTGTTTGGATACCAATGTGTTTCATGTGCGGCATGCGTTTACATGAACCAAGTGCCATGTGTTGGTCTCCTTTAGCATCCACATGGCAAAGTCGTCACGCCTCACAGCTTTCCCGCTCCTACCAGGTATTAGCCTCCGCATACCGCCCTCCCCCCCCCTCCCCTTCCCCCTTCCGCTAAATATTCATTGGCGTCCCCCTCCCGCCTCCGGGGAAGCGAAGGCCGACCCCCCCTCCTCCCCCGGGTATTATTAGCCTCCTTATACCCCCCCCCCCTCCGCTCAATACTCATTCACGTCCCCCCCCCCGATGAAGCGAACGGCGAAGAAGGCGAAGGGCAACGGGAAGAGGAGGAAGAGGAGGAGGAGGTAGAAGAGGAGGAGGAGGAAGAGGAAGCCGACAAGTTTCCTCCTGACGGCAAGGTGTGCAGTGCTTGCGTTGACATGAAACGGAGATATTGGAATTGGACGAGCAGATTTGTTCAGAACCGTGTTTTGAGTGCGGAGCCGGTATGAGGCTGGCAAAGCCACAACCGTGAGCAAGCGAAAAAAGTTGGGAGAATGGAGAGATACGAGCAGATGTATAGCAGTATCAATGGCGCTTTTGTGTGAATGTCGGCGTGATAACCCCGGCACCGAATAGTAGGAACGACAGCAACGAAATGATGATTGTTGCACACCACCAACCAAACAAGCAGGACAATCCAATCGTCAACCCAAAAAAAACACACGCACACGCACATACCCGTTGGCACTGACGTCTTTTCATTGGTCAGCCGGTTAGCGCGGTCGATGCTAATAATAAAAAAAAACACACACCACGTGCAGTTTTCTCCTGTTAGTGCTACAGTATATTCCTTTCATCCGGAGAGTAGCATGGACAGATCGTCATGGTAGCCTTTTGAAACATTTTGTGTTTTCAATCGCACTGAGACTCGAAGCCTTTTCATTGGTTTGCCGGTTTGTTAGCGCGGTAGATGCTAATTAAGAACACACACACTATTTAAAATAAACGCACACACAGATTTGTTTGTTTTCAACCGGACTTGAGACTGGCGTCTTTTCATTGGTCAACCCATTAGCGCGGTCAATGCAAATTCAACAATACGCAAAACACATACGCAGGTGCTGGTTCGGCTGCGTCACACACACTAATATTAAATAATATACACACATAGCAGTATTTTGTGTTTTCAACTGGGCTTGAGACTGACGTCTTTTCATTGGTCAGCCGGTTAGTTGGCGCGGTCGATGCTAATTCAACAAAACGCACACAAACACACACCCGCGCAGGTGCTGGTGCGGCTGCGCCACGTGTACGACCACGACGCCGAGCTATACGAGGAATTTTCCCGCGAGCTGCTGTCGCCGGTGCTCCGCCTGGTGCCATCGGCGCTGTCCTCCCTCGACGCCGTTCGGCTCTCGTCGAGGGTGGTGGTATCCCTGCGGGAGAACTGCGTCGCCTGCCTCGTCCGAAAGGTGCGGTCAGTTTGGTATTTATTAGCCATTATTCGTATACGGATGGGGATAGCATGCGACAAATTTGAAGAATACATAAAAACACGGGAAGACTAAATACCCGTTCAAGATATAACCACAGTCGAAGGGGACGTTTTGAAGCCTTCACAGTGAGTGGAGGGAAACCGGCTGGGTACTGGGCTTATTTCGAGTCTGTTTTAAGATTTCCACTGATGATTTTCTTTTCTTGGTAAAAATACTCTTTTTCATATGTTTGGATTTTTGGTTTTTAGGCTCTTCCGTCGACGGTGATAGATAGTGTAACGGTTTGACTTCCAGATAAGATAAATAGCGCTTTTGTCTCAGAGGTTGTTAGTGGCGGCGTTTAGGGAGAACTGCGTCGACTGCGTCGACTGCCTCGTCGTAAAGGTATTCTACGGTCTACCGTTGGCGCATGCGTATGCGTGTGCATATGCGACACGATCAATCAGTCAGTCGGCCAGTACCGTTAGAGGTTTTAAAGATGTGTACGAGTATCCGTATGCGTCTCAAAAGATCGTGCCCAACCACCACTAAAGCCTTTTTTCCATACAGCGCAACCAACCGGCGTCTGCACGACCCCCCCCCCCCCCCCCCCCCCCCCCCCCCCCCCCCCCCCCCCAAAAAAAAAAAAAAACCCCAGAAAAAAACCCCCCCCCACCCCCCCCCCCCAAAAAACCCCCCCCCCCAAAAAACACCCCCCCACCCAAAAAACCCAACCCCCCCCCCCACCAAAAAAAACCCCCAACCCCCCCCCCCCCCCCCCCCCCCCCCCCCCCCAA